AGAAACACACTTCTTCAGAGGAGTGGAATGTTGTGCCCATGAAAGCTCATGATGCCATCTACAATACGTGTTTTGTTAGTCTTTAAAGTGCTACTAGACTATTTGTTGTTTTTAAAGTTTTTCCTGTTACAGACTAACTCGGCTGCCCCTCTGAAGCTTTTCCCTAGGGGGTCCCTCCTAGGCCACAATGATCCTGCTCTAGACACTGGAACTGCAGGCCTGGAACACGTCAGGGGCTGGCTGGTTCTAGCACCCAGTGTATGGTGCGATAATACCCACACAGCACCTCCTGCTGGGAGAGACCAGGGCTGGAGTAGCCAGGAGGACTTGTTACTTTAGGGCTGCTCCTCAGTCATGGGAGAACACCTCCTGGTTTGCTGTAATGTATCCTATGAGAGCTGGACCATGCACTCTGGTTTGTTATTGTGGAGTGGCTAGCTCCCGAGCCTCCCTTTTCCTTAGATCTAGCCTTGCTGTGCTGTAATTCCATGCTGCATAGCAGCTCAGGGTGGTGCGCCCACAACTGGGGGGCAGCATTGCCCCTGCTGCCCATCTGCTCAGTCACATAGGGCAGCAGGAAGGATGAGGGCTGAGGAGGCGTCTGTGAAGACTTCCAAGTCATCTGTGTCCAGTAGTTTGGGCAGGAGCCCAGCAGCTGCTGTAGACCCAGTCTCCCCCAGCAGGAGGTGCTGGTGCCCTGGGCCAAGCCGGCCCCTGGTCAGCTCCAGGCTGGCACCCCAGGAGGGATGGGGATAAAGCAGCCTGTGCCACGTTCCTCAAATGCCCCCTCTCCCCTTCCCCCACACCTGCCCATGAGGCTGGGGTAATCCCAACAGCCTCTAGGAGTGAGGCTGACTGGTGGCAAGTAACCAGGGTGGGAAAAGGAGGAAGAGGCATGAATGGGCCATGCAGCTGGGGGAGGGGGACTGGGGGAAGTCCAGAGGTTGCACCAGACGGCTCAGAAATTCCAGGACTGCTGCTTCCTGAGAACGTCTTTCCCGTCAGGAGGAAATGCTGATGTACTGGAGAGCGAGCCCTCGTCATACACCAGCCAGGGTGGGGGGAGAGCTCAAGCTCCGGGCTCCTGTGCTCTGGAGAGTCTAATGGGGAGACGGGATCCTGCCCTAGACACCGATGTGGGATCCAAGCACCAGGTCAGTTCTTGATTCCAACCTTTCCGGCCCAGATCCAGTAACGGACTGAATTGGACCTGTCCCAAATGGGGGGAGGCAGATGGGGGAGGGAATACAATGATGCAGGGAGGGAGAGGATTTGGCCTCTCTTCATATAATTAAGTCCATGTCGGTTACCATGACAACAGTGCTGCAAAAACACCCCACATTAAAACAATAACAGGGGAGTAACCCCAACTCCCAGACTTGGTTCCTAGCGCTTTGAAGGCAGCCGCTGGCATTAATCACATTAAGCCCTGGTCTCAAACCCACCTGCTTCCCTCTTTGGGCTTCCTGGCTCTCAGTTGCAAGACATCCTGGGGCCCTGACTCTTCCCACCCCAAGCCTATGAGCCCCCCCACCTTGGCTCCATTCTGCATGGGCACAGCGCTCTCTACTGGCTGCAAAGTGCCTGCAATGCCAAAGTGGGCACTTGACTTGGGACAGGGGAGTGGAGCCGAGAGCAGCAGCATGGGAGTGTGGGGCAGTGGAACTTAGCAAAGAGCCACCTCTAGGGAGTGAGAGTCGCTTATCCCTCTTCAGCTTGGGGGCAGGACTGGGTATGAGCAGCATCCTCTGTCCATCCCCAGCACCTTCCACCTCGGGGCCTCCACATTGGGACTGAACCTCACCCGCCCCAGGGGGTTGGTCAGATGAGGAAAGTGAAGCACAGAGGGGGATGTGCATCCCCCCAAGGTCACATCCTGAGTCAACAGTGGAGCGTTGAGTAGAACCCAGAAGGAGTGGATCCCGGCACTGATTCACTAGCCTAGGCTCCTGCCCACCAGAATGTCCTGGAATTGGCCACTACTGATCTTTGTAGATCCTTAACCTCTGCTGGTGTCTCCCCTGGCCCGGAGCCCTCTGTGCCCATGGTCAAGCTGGCAGTACCCCAGCACTGGGCTGGGTCCAGCAACAGCTGGTGCTGACACCCCAAAGTGGGGTACCAGGGCCCCCAGTGTCCCCCATGGAAACAGGCTCCACCTATAAAGGGGAATAGAGAGGCATGATCCCAAGGGAGAGGCAGGTGGAGGGGTACAGGGAAGTGTCCAGCTCTGTGCATCCAGGGGAGGGCAGGATGGCAGGTGCACAGAAGCCTGCAGATGGGAGAGGGGCCTGGAGGCAGTGGGCCAGGCTGTGTATGTAAGGGGTCAGGGCAAGGAGGTGTTTCCTTGGACAACCTCCCCAACCCCTTCCTCCCACTGACCCCTCCCCCTGCTCTCCCTCCTCCCACTG